CACATATTGAGGACTTGTTTTCAGCTCTGCCACACACAATTATAAAATGTAGCGTCTCTACAGAGTTTTGTATTGATTACTGTGGCTCAATACTACTCTTAGATTAATTCATTTATTGCCTTCCATTTAGTTCTTCCCACTTAGTCTGCGACACAGCCCCTGCTATCCGCAATCCAAAATTGGCAAAATTGGCAGTGGCAGCCGCCGTTTCAATATCAATGCTAGCCAGATGGCGCTAAGCTGATGACTGAGCTCCGATTGTGGGAGCTTGTTTAATTTATGTTTTTGATATGCTGAACTTTTGCGTGCGGTATTTACAGCGAACAGTGTGCGCCTCGCTGATGAGTTGACAAAAGCTTAATGGCACTTAACGTAAGCAAACAGGCGACACCCAAACACACCCACACACACACACACACACACAGACTCATAAACACCAATACATACATAGAGCAGGCTATAATGACAGCTGCGTGCAGACGTTGTCGTCATCGCCATTTTGTAGGCAATGGCATTGAAGCGGAAAACGTATTTTAGTGATTTTTAATGCGAAAGCAATTTGAAAAGTTTGTTTGCCAAAAGTTCTAATGATAGAGACATGCTGTTCCACGAATGTGTGTCTGTGTGTGTATATTGCTGATTTGTGGTGATTAGGGCTTGGTGGCAAATTTTTGAGGCTGGCACACACACACGCAGTCACAGCAACACACCCACATTGGCAGTTGATTGAAATAATTGAGGCAGGCTGCTCAAGATTCGAAGCTGGGTTTGGGCTTGGGCTGCTAAGAAGATTGGCGCGTGTGCGCCCATAAGTAGGCTTATGAATTGCCAAATGTGTAAATTAGTAAATAAAGTAGGCACCGCAAGTTGTTGACAGGCACCACGCAGAGGAAGTTCTTCGCTTGGTGACACCTGAAGGAAAATACTCGAGTTTAAAATTTTCGCAAGTTATGGCGTTATATTTTACTCCACTTTGGGGTTAAGCGATATGAAGTTCGTTTAAATATAAACAACTTTGCATTCGCCGTTATTTAATGTCACTAAAATAAAATTGAAGGCCGTAAATAAATAAGACTACTCCGATAAATATTAATTTCATCTTTATTGAACTGAACCAGTTATTCCTATAGAGTACTATTTATGTGAAATGCTATTTAATTTGGCTGTTGATCTAAGGTATGTTCCTTGCAACTTAGTAACTTAGAAGTGAAACCAAATACCATATATTTATCAAGTCCAATATCAGCAGCAACAATTGTGAGACTGCGTGTTGCAACAAAAGTTTCCGATGAAAGATTTTTATAAAACATATATATGTACATAATATGTATGTAATTACACTATTCATTTTAACTAAAATCTTCTTCATCAATTATGGGAAAAATAACGACCAGTTGTAACGACCTGCATTTATGATTAAAGTGAAAGTTGGGAAATCTGTACATGTATAGAAAGTATATATAGTCATTGAGATCTGTGTTACTGCGATTTTTTCTTGTGTAATTATTAGATTGAAATCTTTTCTAATTACGCTCAGGGGACAACAATACAGTCGCGAGTTCTACAAAACTTCTGTCAACACTTGACTACAAAAAATATTTCCTGCCTACAAGTATTTTTCACTTAGCCATGTCGTAATTGGTGCGTTTTTCTTTGCGCTATTTCATCACTCTTATATCCAGTTGGATTTGTTAGACCGGTTTAACTTATCTCGCTCTGGTTCTTTGCTTGCTTCGCTGTTGTTTTCATCATTGCTTGTTCTTGCTGATATGCAGGACTCTAAGTTTCCAAAAAGTCTAAAAAGAAAATGACATTCAAATGTCGGTAATGACATCATTTGACAATAAAATAATCTTCACTTTGAATTATTAATTGGATATATAACAAATATTACCAATGCCTTGAGCCTACAAATAACTTTAAACGTACATTATTAGTTACCAAAATAGTCAATTAATTTAAAAGATATATACAGTAGGAGCTCGGTAACTGCAACCCTCCATACATGCGATTCTTTGATTTTGTTAACTCTATAAAAAATGATAATCCAATAAAAGGCATTATAGGATTGCTTAAGGAGTTTCTTTAGATAGCTGTTATTAAAAGCCTTAATTAGTAAATAGTGCATGCAAAAATAAAAGATATGTTCAACAATAAATTTACTAATAAAAATTATGTTAAGAATACTTACATATGTACGTATTTCTATCTAATAACTATCTGGCCACTGTGGCGTTGTCGCAGTGTGCTGTTGCCAGATTGTGTAAAATATATGTGAAGGCAAAAGCAACAATTATAAAAAGAGTGCATTAACCGTTAACTCTACAAGAATTACATCTTGTGCTTATGTGTAGATTAATCTTTTTCGATTTTTTGTCATTTTCGGTAACTTGTGATAAGATCGAAATTTTCGCAATTGGGAAATAATAAAATGAAAGTTAAATTGAACATTTTGAAACATAAATAAAATTGTTTCTCATTTCAAATTAAGTTAATAACAGCCTTTATTTATTTATCATTTTTGAAGCTAAACAGTTATTTCTTAAAAATTATTTATTAAAAATAATAAAAAGAAGTGTCTGAAACATGAATAAAATTGCTTCTCATTTGTGCGATGCTCAGCCTGTATTTCAACAAATTAAGTTAATAACAGCCTTTATTTATTTATCTATCATTTCATATCATTTTATCGAGTTCACACTGTATTCGAATTCTGCTATTTTTTTAACGATGCGACGACTCGATACGCTTTGGTATGCACTTCACGCACACTCATTCATCGCTTAATTTTTTGTGGTAAATAACATTAAATTATGGCTCACCCTAATGTTGGTGTGCGATGCTGCAGACCACAAAACCACCAGCTTGCTTGCCATATCAATATCGGGGAAAAATGCAGTTTTAATTAGCCAAACGTGCGACAAACGCACGTAGCACGCATAACCGCAAGATGGCGCTGCAATTAGGCGAATGAGAGTCAACGAGTACTGTTATGTTGCTGGCTGCTGGCCGCTGGCCGCTGGATGCTTGATGTTGGGTGCTTGGGTGCTTGGGTGATGTCGTTATTGGTTGAATGGTTGGCTTGGTTGCCTTGGTAGCTTTGGCTGGTCGTGCGCGGTCATCAGCGTGAAATCTCCCTCCTCTCCCTACTTCTCTTTCTCCTCCATCACATGATCATGTGTCACTCACCGGCAAGGCAGAGTCATTCAACGCGTCTGGGAACCAGAGCAGACGGCGTCCACTACGTGCTGGGTGGTCCAGGGATGGGTTAGCGCTGGTTATGGTGGCGAATGGCAAACAAAATTATGTGGCCACATTGCTGTTGCATTTCGCGAACTGTTGCTGCCTGCCAGTCGTTTGTTTTGCAATGCCCAAATTACTTTATCGATTTGGTTGCTCTCCTGCCTCTGCTTCTGCTTCTGCCTCTGCAGCACAATTTGGCGTTGCATACATTATGGCGCTGGCGCTGGCGCTGCTGCTCGCGCTCTCCGCCTTACTAACGAGCCTCATTAGTGACATGCATGCACCGTTGACATGTAAGCGAGCGACTCGCATGTGATTTCTTTTTGTGGGCTTACGGGCTCTTATGGACTGTCCTGTCCGAATACACTGACCACAGCTTATTCTTCATTTGCGGCATTTCGAGTCTGCCTTTTCAATCAACAGCGCACAAATTTAAATTGCTTTAATGTGCAACAGAAATCGACTTAAAGTTACAATTCTGTATACATAATTTTCTTATTACTTTCTTTTTCAAATTTTTGATAGACTCAAAAAGTATGCTATGTAGTTTGTGTTGAAGCTTTGCCTTCTGCGAAGGAATAATTTCATTAATTTATTTAGTAAGTCACGAAAATAGATTATATATAGACTTAAGAGGCAGAAACGGAAGATACTTATTATTACTAAAACAAGAAAGGAATGCTAAAGTCGAGCGGGCAGAACTGTTAAATTTCTTCAACAACTGACTTCCTATTGCACAACTATTTAATCGTATTAATTTTATTAATTATTAATTAAATTAATTATTTTCTAATAAAACCTATGTAACTTAAAAACCCTTTAAGTTGCTTTCAATGTAATCTAAATCACTTACATCTTACTTTTCTATTTGTTATTTTATTTTAGAAGCGAATCTGCTCAATATTCCACACACACACATATACACACACACACATACACACACACACACACACACACACACATAGAAACTCTCTCCAGGCAGCAATTAATGTCATCAATATCTAGAGTGAGGGGCTATTTTACATCGTTTTAATTGAAATCAATATCAGAGAGACGGAAACGCAGCAAACGCAAAACGGATGTTGACTGTCAATTGAATTGCATTAAAATGGCGTGCGAGTCTTAACACCATTAATTACAGGACCAATGAGTCAATATTATGACAGTGGCAAGCAGTTGTGTCGGAAGGTCCTATGATATGACAGCAAGCAAGTCAAGGCGACAGCAACAACAATGACTATACACATTGATCCTGCTTATTGATACTGGCATCTTCCATCAATTAATTAGGCCGATGGAGACTGAGATGTTGAGCCGGCGAGTGAGTGATGAAGATTGAAAGATGTTAAAGGGGGCTATAGGTTTGTTTAATGGAATTTAAAAATAACAATGTACTAAACAGTTGAAGCAAATAAATTGTTGCCTGAATAACAGGCAATTCCTTAAGATTTTAAAGAGTGTTGCAGACAGACATCTAGTACGCCTCTTGCGACCTTCATTCTTCTACTATATCGCTTTGTTCAGCTGTTGCAAAAAGGAAACAATCTTTTTATAATAAAATACTAAATACAGACAATGGTATTGTTGTTTGTACATTTTATTTTTAAATTCAAGCTGAATCAGAAGCTCTCGATGCTCTCAATGCCATAATCGTCGTCATCTTTAAGAAGATACATTTTAAAGTTTTTCATAGTCATCGGGATTGTTATTGTAATCATCGTCATCTTTATATCATCTATCATCCTAAAGAAGGTGCATTTTAAAGTTTTTGGAATTCAATTTTAATTGGAAGCTCATCCATGCAGTACAAAAAATTTTAGGAGACATAATTTCTAAAATAGTTTAACAATTTATCACATTTAAAATCTTTCAAATATTAGCAAATGCTTTACACATCTTGTGGATCCATGAAGCTCTCGCTGTCATCTTCCTCAGCATTATTATGAACAGTACGAGCATCAGCGTCATCTTCGTGGTTATCATCATCATTATCGTCATCTTCATTATCATAATCATCTTCATCCTCATCGCTGTCCAGTTGAACGGTGCTGATGACAGTGCTTAATCGATTGGACGGAGCATTATAGCGTTGTTGCTGCCTCTTTGCATCACGCTTGGCCGCCTTCATATGTGCCTTTACATCTTCCTTGACACTGTCGACCAGATTGCAGAGATCCAGATCCAGACTTTGCACGCTTTTGCCATCTCCCTTAGCCTTCGCCTCGTTATGGGCGGCGCGTTGCGCTTGGGCGCTTGTAGAGGGTTGGGTTGAAATATCGGCTTGGCTAGTAATGGAAATTTCGAGCTCCGACCTATTTGAGTGCCCCTCTACATAGCAGCCCTCTTCGCCATATCCGGGCGGATAGGCTTCCTCTGGGGACTCCATTTCTTCGTAGTAGTGGCCTTCAGGCACGTCTGCAAACATGTCGCTATCGTAGCTGTCATCCACCTCCTCATCGGTTACATTTGTGTCGGTGTGGGAACTATCAGAGCTTCCAGAATCGTAGGAGTTTTCATTTTCTTCTTCGTCGCTTACTTCTTGTTGTAACTCTTGATTAACTGTTTGCGGAGCCTTTTCAATTTCGTGATCAAGCTCCTTTGGAAATTCGGTTTGATTGCCGCTGTCCTTGACTGGACCATGATGCGAGACTTGTATCTGACTATCATCTCCGGCTGCTGATCGCTGTTCTTTTGGTTTATCTGCTCTTTTGCTTTGCACCAAACTTTGCATGCTGTTCAAACTGCTGTCCACCTTGGACGATTGCTCGTTTTGAAGTAGTTGTTCCTTGATGAGCCGCTCGCATACCGCTTGGTAACGCTCTGGGCCCTCTGAAGCAATGTGCTGTGTCGAAGCTAGCTCGCCAGCCATCAGATTGTAGGGCGAGGTGGATTTGTGGAGTTTGATTGGCCTGGGACTTGACGATTTTTGTCCAACGCTAGTTTTCGACTCGATGTGATGGGATGATTGCTGGAACTGTTGTTGTGGCCTGGGCTTTCTGTTGTACACATTAAGGAACAACTCCAGCAGAATTGGCAATCCCTTGAGGCTTAGTTCAGTGCCCAAGTCTGCTTCCAGTTGTCTACGTTCCGGTGGCTGTGCCGAGGCGCCTGTCTCCATGGAAAACGTTTCCATTGTGTGCTTATAGCCGTACCAGTTTAAATACTCCATTATCAGTTTGTTCAGCAACAGGACTCGCTCATCTTGATCGGTAAGTTGATGGCCACACAGTGGCTTGTCGGACTTGCCGAGCTTGTCGCGCAGCAATTCAAGGACCCTGACATGCATCTCTCCACGAATCTGGCCTAAAATACCAATCTTATGTAGCTTTATCTTGATGGAGTCGTGCATTCTCTTACTGTAGTCGAACTTCTTGCCATGAGACATCCTGCTGGGCCAAATAATTCCTCAATACTTGGATGGGCACAAAACGAAATTTATTTTGAATACAAATGTTGAGGATTCCAGTGTAATAATTTGTGTAGAGCCCGAAATTTGTGCCAGTTGTGTTGAAATGACGGCAAATGAAAAGTTTACTCACTTGTCCGACTCTGGCTATCAAACAGGACTTCTTGTATGTACAAGTATGTATGTATGTTTTTTTTTTTTAGCTTTCTGCTGTTGATGTCTGCAAAGTTTTTGTCAACTCGTTAATCATGCAGATAACCTTGAGCCCTGGCCCTGACTGCATGCATTAGCCATTAGGTGAACTTTTCCGGGCAATGCTGCAAAAGTTTGCAATTTTGCAGCGGTGTTCCACAAAAAAAAAGTGCATTGAAACGTCAGCTTAGACACAGAAACTTCAACTGCTGTCCTTAAACAGATTTATCCTGTCTAACCATGATTTAACGTAAGCAGCACGATCTGAGCTTTAAAATAACGAGCTACGACCGCGCATTTAAAAAACATTTTATTGAGCATATTCGATTTGATCTAAAATTCTACATCTTACTCGATTAAACTCCTTACTTGTTAAACTCCTGTTTAACTCCTTTCGTGCGAAAGAATAGATATCTTTGCTTGAAGAATCAACTGTTCTTCAATTTATTTGCTCTACGCTTGTTCATTTAATTAAAAATCATATAAACGATTAGTCCACGAACTAATGAAAAACATATATCCGAAACATTGCTTATTATATAATGATACGTTGTTCCAAGATATAAGAAACAGTATAGTGTCTTCTCTTAATTGGCAATAAAGCATTGCATACGAAACAGCATGATGTCGAAATAGCGCGTCATAATTCAGGAAAAACATCAAAACATTTAATTAATTAAGCAACATTAAATACATATCTGAAAACACAAAAACGGCCTCAATATAAACAAACAAAAACTTGTCAAAACTAGAGCGATTTTTGAATCAGAATTAATTTTTCCGTATAAGTGGAATTGAGAAAAACAAAGACTTACTTGGCCTTCCATTTCCGGTCAACTAGCGTTTCCAAATAACATTTAATTTTAATCTTTGAAGCCACATGTTAAATTAGAAAAATTAATTAATCTTGGCTTTTGTAAGATATATTGATTTAATACCTTTACGTTTAGAACAGATATTGATATATATCAAGCGATAATTAAACAAAAACTCATTAAAACTACAACTTTGAGAATTAAATGAAAATGATTAAAAATGTATTTACACAGAGTGTTAAACTCGAAGTTAAAGAGTATAATCAGTATTAAGTAAGTAAGTATTACAAGACATAATTGATCCGATTTAGATACAACATTGAAAATAAACAAAAAAAAAAAAAAAAATAAAAAAAATTAAAAAAATAAAATTCAGTCATCAAGAACAGAAAAACGGTTTAATACTCTTGCAAAAAAGGAGTCTATTTTTTTTTTAAATTACCAAAAATTTTAATTCTTCAATGATTTCGAATTGTGTGGAATAAAAAGTTTCCGGGATGCATAGTTTTCCACTTAATCAGCTAGCATACGAAATAGCTGTGGAGTGCATTCTTTTATCATAAACTTTTATGCAGAAGAACTAAAATTCAGAAAATAATAATAAAAAAATAATCGAAATAATAATTGAATTGAAAGCGGGGGCGTAATTCTTATATATTCTATTTTGAACTGTCCACAAATACTCACAAGAATTAAACTTTAGGAGTGGTTTATCCGAAATAATCTGTAATGCACTTTCACAGTCAACGAATGGTTGATGTCAAGATGATTTTTAGATGTCTCTGCTAGTATCTAACATACTCGTATTATTTACATGACATTCTTCTTTCTTCTAAACTAACTGCTTTGGAAATATTGCTTATCGTCGGTACTTATATGCCATTAGTGAGCAACTAACTATCGCTATCTTAGTTAAACTTAATTAGCTCTTGCGCCTAATGAAACTTTGCGCACCTTTCGTGCTTGGCTTATTCCTAGACACAGGATAGCGCGTCCTTTAAGGTGCTATCACCTTTGCCTTTGCCGACACTGCACCCAGAAGTGCGCCAGTTGCCCTTTCGGCGTATCAGTTACAAAATTTATTGCACTTAATGGAATTTAAAAGTTTGTTTACTAAAGCGAGTTGGGCGCCATTGAGGCCGCCGTTTTGTAGCCGTGTCTTGTGTTTGCGTCTGTGTCTGTATCGGTGTGTGGGGGCGGTGGCGGGGGCGTGGCAAGGGGTGTGTGGGTGTGTAGCTAACGACAATGCCGCTTAAATGAATTTATGCTTAAGCGATAATCATGCAAATTAATAGCTTAGCAAGGACTCGGAAAAAGGGAGAAATAACATTTGACTTGAGGGCATGCATCGTCGTAGTGCCAGAAACCAGATCCAAAAAAGGGAACAGGCAACTAAATGCAAACTTTTTACTTAAATGACAGAAAAAACTTTGAAGCTTTTATGGAAGCAAACTCAATGTCTGCCGCTAAGTTTTGAAAAAAAAATGGTCAAAATTAAATGGAGAAATTAGAAACAAAATAGCAAACTATTTATTTTAAAAGTTTTTCAAATTTAAATATAATGAAAATGCGAGGAAAAGTAGGAAATAAACTAAATAAAACTATGTATATAAAATAGAGTGAAAAAGGAAGAAAATTTAATTAAACAATATAGTAAATAACTTACAACATTAAAACAAGAATGGAGTGCTAGAGTCGAGACTCTTGAATACCTTAAAAAAAATCGTGGAGTGGATCCTATAAAAATCCGATTGAAACAGTTTTTAAAAAAAATATTGAAGATATAAATTTAAAATAAAGAAATATAATAAAATAAAAAATATATACATATTTAATATGCTTGCAAAATATCAGTATTATTGAATAGATTATATATTCGCTGAAAAGGGAAGGGCTCAGTAGGAGTAAAGTAAAAGACAATAGTCGCGGACCGCCGTGCGTCTGTTCGCTTTAGAGTTTTATTGGAGACTGACACTTTTGCTATACATATTCTTTATGCTTACATTCGTATGCAACAGTGACAGATAACTTGTAGATAACATAAGATTATTATCTGCTTATATTAACATGCGTGCATTGGTACTTATGTTTGTATTGATTTTCAACACCCTTCCTCAATGCAAACATGTTTTACAAAAATTTTCAAATCAAATTTAACAGCTTTGTAAAATGAACATGCTTCGCTTTAGGGAGATTTTTCGTTAAAATATCAGCTATCATTTCATTGGTTGATGTATACTGTAAAACAATTTGTTCTTCGTTTACAACCTGTCTTGCAAAATGATATCTAATATCAATATGCTTTGTTCTTTCATGGTGTACAGGATTCTTAGCTAATTGTTGAGCACTTAAATTATCGCCATGAAGAATAGTTGGAGTACTCGAGTCACCGCAGCCAATCTCCACTATAAGACGCCGTAGGTATATGGCCTCCTTACACGCAGTTGAAAGAGCCATATACTCCGCCTCCGTGCTGCTAAGTGCCACGCTGCGTTGCTTTTCAGATCGCCAGGATATGGGTCCTCCAGCCAAGTAGTATACATAGCCAGTATACGACTTGCGATCGATGCGGTCGCCACCCCAGTCTGCATCCACATAGCCGGTAAGGGGTTGTCCACACTCTTTGTAGTGCAACTTCAGGTCCACAGTTGACGCCAGGTATCGAAGCACATGTTTTACACCCACTAGGTGCTCTGCATGCGGATCTTGATTCCGTTGAGCTAACTTGGCAACGGAATGCAATATGTCTGGCCTTGTTGTAAGCGCCAGCCACATTAACTCGCCAATTGAAGACTGGTAGGATGCAATGTCAACCTTTTGACAATGCTCGCTGGTACATATCACTTGGAAACCAGCATCCAGTGGGGTCGCTGTAGGTCTACAGGTCTCGCATCCATGTTCACGCAATATGTCTTTGATGTATTGCGAATTGCTTAGCGAAATTTCGCCAAGCTCACCGTCGCGCTGCACTTCCATGCCAAGGAACAAATGCAGCTCTCCCTTGTCAACACATTCAAACGATGTTGTAATGGCTGACTTGATGTTGGCCAAGTCCTCTTTTGATCGGCATGCTATAATTATATCATCAACATAAACAAGGATTAATGATAAGTCACCTCTTCCGTTCCTTTTGTAAAGACACGGTTCATTTTCACATGCTACAAAATCTATGCCTTGTAGTACACAATCGAGCTTGGAGTTCCACTCGCGCCCCGACTGCTTCAATCCATATATTGCCTTTTTAAGCAATAAAGCCTTACTTGGATTATTGGGATCTGTGTATCCCTGTGGCTGCTTCATATAAACAGTTTCATGCAGGTCGCTATTCAAATAGGCGGTACACACATCTATCTGGTGAAGGTACAGCTTCAATTCCGCTGCTAACGCCAAAATAAACCGCACGGTTTCCAATCTGCAAACGGGTGAGAACGTCTCTACATAGTTCACGCCATACTTCTGGGAGCACCCTTTAGCAACGAGTCGTGCCTTGAAACGTTCGACTTTTCCATCAGAGTCACGTTTCAGGCTGTATACCCACTTGCAACCAACTGCTCGCTGATCTTTTGGTAAATCAGCCATCTGCCAGGTTTCGTTTGATTGTAGTGCCTGATATTCCTTTTGCATCGCCTCTTGCCAGAATACTGCATGTGTGCTACCAACGGCCTGATCATAGGATGTCGGAACCATTACGTCACTAGCAACCAATGCTCCAAGCACATTGTATTGCTTTCTTGGACGACCAGGTTTACCATTTCGAACAATTTTAGGCCGGCCTGGCCCAATCTTCACAGTATCCTCGTCAGAGTCTTCTTTTTCGACTGCACTCTCATATGCGTTGGAGCTGCTGTCGTCAGAACTGTGCTCACTGTCATCGTCGTCGATGCTTCTGTCACCATCCGTGTGAGTGACATGCTCTTGAACCTCGCATGCAGGAAAATCTACCGTAACGGTATCTTCATTGGTATGACCACCACAACGCTCATCAAATAGAATGTCTCGTTTTTCGACAATCGTCCTCGTCTCTGGGTCGTATAACCGATAGCCTTTGGCTGCTACCGAATAC